CAGATACTTTGTCTACTTAGGGAACATAAAATTCAGAGTGTCAGTGGTTTGGGCCGAAAGCAAGCAACACAGCACAACATGGATTCAATCAGAGTGTCAGTGGTTTGGGCCGAAAGTAAGCAACACAGCACAGCATGGATTCAATCACAAAGTACACCTAGCAGATGAGGAATGATCACATGACACTGGGTGGCAGAGAAGGTGCAAGGTACCCTCCTCCTCATCCCTGCCTAGCACTGTCAGTAGCATTTATTTTAGAAAAGTATTTTATTGAATTTGACTTGTGCAGATTTCTTCATTCAACGCTAAGCGCTGTAGCATTTTGAATGTTTACAACATAAACCGAACTGCTCATCTACATACTTCTAAGTGCACTTTTTATTTTGCTTATTTTTATTTTGCACATTTATTTCACTCTGTCCGAGTAGTGAAGTTGGCTTTTTAGCTTCTGCAGTCTGTAAGTTTCAGCTGTCAACAGCAACGGGAGGTTCATGTTGCAAAGGAACAAGCAGCGCGTGCACGCTGCAAGCGCTGCGCCAGGCTGCGCTCAGGCTCTCAGCGACGGCTAGCGCAGCGCTCTGTGCTGCTGGGCGCCGAAACCCGTGCAGGAACTCTGCCGGCAGGTCACCTCCCTTGGAAACCCCACCGGACCGAAGGGGAGGAGGAGAGGCAGCCCGGCCGGGCCCTAACCGGCTCCTTCGCTAAGCTCGTCGAGGATGCCAAAACGCTTAGCGCGCTGTGGTCAGGCAGACCGCAGACGCGCGGGGCGACCGCCGTGTACATGGAGCTGCTGGAGACCAGCAGAGAGCTTCTGCCTGGACCATGCCACCCAAGCCAGGGAGAAAGCAGTTTCATAGCTTCTAGCTCATCCTGCTGGTGTCAAAAGTGAAACAAAAACACGCTCTTTAACAACCTGCCGACTAGGTAAGAAACACTTTTTAAAGCCTATTCCGTAAACAGGCACTATTACAGCAAACCATGTAAGCCTGCGCAAACTCTTAAGCACGTGCTTCCATTCTCCTGGTATCAGTCAGACCTAAGTACGTAATTAAAGATCATAGGTCTAAACTAGCACCAGCTGAACTCACTGAAAGAAACCTCCCACTATTCTTAAATAGTTTAAGGATCAGTCCTTAAACTTGGTACCCTGTTTTTTCCACTCTATGGCTATCCAATTGGGGGAGGGGAAGAATCCACCATAGAGAGGAAATGCAGTAAGACGAAGAGTGGAAAGACAGATTTTGATATGCATGCTTATTTTTCCCTGGCTTTTTCAATTATCACAAGCAGACCTTTAAAAACAAAACAGATATGTTTATCTATTCATGTTTTTTTTTTCCACGAATCACTTTTTGAGATGGCTACATGGCAAAAAAGTTCATCAAAGGTGGGAGGAAGTATTGGGATGGAGGAAGAGATGTGACAAATTCAGAATTAAAACTTCTTCTTAAGTTCTGAAAGAGCCAGAGTAGCAACTCTATCAGCCATTCATCAGACTACGTATTCTCTGCTTTTAAGATCAAAGAAGTTTGAGAGACCATTCAATGAATTCTAATAAAAAGCTTCTCCACCATAATAAACCATGGGGCAAATATCCTAATAAATTTATGCTTAGCCTTAAAAAGAAAAAGCGTTACAATAGACGTTCAGGAACTTGCAAACTGCCAGTGCTCTTTATACCAGGTTCAGTTTAAGAAGAGTTTCTGAGTTTTTCTTCTGATCTGAGCCCCCTCCTCCACCTTACATTGTCTGCATGCCAGCATGAAACATTTACATAAATAAATAAATCCCTACTAAAACAGCAAGTAAAACCTCTGTTTCTTTACCTTAAGCATGAGTCTTTTAAAAGGAACATGAGGCATACATTTACATTTCCTTTAAGAGACTGAAAGTAACCTCTCCATAGATTTTTCCCAAGCAACAGCAAGTACTAACAGGTCCGTTCTTAAAAAGTCACATTACATTGGGGACTTGGCTATTTCAGGGAAACCACCTTATGGCACCAAAACCTGAAGTTAACCGAACAGTTTCCTCCTCCAGGACATTATTCAGCAAAATCAGTCTCGTGAACAGAAACGCCTCAACCCACCCCCGTCCTTTCAGAGGCAGAAATAACGAAAAATCACCCCACTGCTCCCTCCCGCGAAGAC